ATCAATTAAGCGTCCCTTGAATTTACATTGACACTTGACAGTCCCTTTAAGTTCACTACACATATAATATTTGGTTTAAGCACGTTTCTAATAATGATCATAAATGATCTTTTATGAAATTATTATGATTTTTTATGTATTTTGATCATTTTCCCGTTTTTTCATAATTTCAATACAAATATAAGAGACCCAATAGGAAACTCTCTTTCGCTATTGGATCGACGAGATGCTCTAAAATGTGTGGCTATATTATTGTTAATAATTTCGAGACCATTCCTTACTGTTCTAGATCTGGAAAAATGGTGTTTCCATGGGTTGTGAGTGATTCAGAACTAGGAGATCTTCACAAACATTGCTACAGGTTGGGAATATACAGGGTTACCCACCAAGAAAGAGACGACTGTACGGAATTGATCCAGTCTGAATCCTTACATTCATGACTCCCGCAACTATAAACTTCTTTATTTCTTTGCCAAATCATTAAATAAGCCATTTAAAGCCTACGTTCACGACCAAAAACTTAATATAAACTTGTGATCGTCATATGTCAAGGGTTTCAAGTCCTCTCTTCAGTCTCATGCTTTATGGTTAATCCTGTATGTAATAATAATATAGAATTGTGTGCATAGATATACAATTTTAATGACAAGAAAAGGGTTTGAACGATTTATAAGAAAATTAATTAAAACTAAAAACATAGTTGTTAAATATTTAGTTAATATAGCAAAGGAACTAGAAACATCAATTGGTAATAAAAGATGTATCTAAGAGGAGGGAGACCATAGGTTGGTTTGGTTGCCGTTTTAAAAACGCGTGAAAGGCTAATTAATGATACGCGCATTAAAAAATAGAACGCGTAATTAATAGTACTAGTGCGTGACCTCAAGACTTGTCTTTGTTAAGATGCTTTAACACCAACAAGTGTAAAGGAGATCTAGACGCCTGTAAAATTATCTCCTGCAGGAACAATTGCCCAGCTCGCTTTCATCTTTGCAAGGTAGGAAATATCTAGTAAGGGGGATTGTAAACGTTATTTTAAATGGTGTCCCAATTTAAAAAGTGACAATTGCAATTCACAACATATCCCTTAAAACCTCTATCTTTTCTTGGAGAAAAATCAAGATTTATCTGGAAATTGGTCAGCTGTTATTTCTCGATATTAAAGAATCCTATTAGAGAACTAATATATTTTCAGTATGGTTCATTACCCCCTTCAAATATCTTGAACAGTTCCTTGAAAAAAAATTGTTTAGGAAACTGACATTAACACTCAATATGTTTAGAAAACTGAACAATAACACTCAATATGTTTAGAAAACTGAACAATAACACTAAATATGTTCTGAAAACTGAACAATAACACTAAATATGTTTAGAAAACTGAACAATAACACTGAATATGTTTAGGAAACTAACCAATAATACCATAAATATGTTTAGAAAACTAAACAATAACACTAAATATGTTTAGGAAACTAACCAATAATACCATGAAAATATTTAGAAAACTGAACAATAACACTAAATATGTTTAGGAAACTAACTAATAATACCATGAGTATGTTTAGAAAACTAACCAATAATACTGAATATGTTTAGGAAACTCAACAATAACACTGAATATGTTTAGGAAACTGAACAATAACGCTAAATACGTTTAGGAAACTAACCAATAATACCATGAATATGTTTAGGAAACTACATAATAACACTAAATATGTTTAGGAAACTAACCAATAATACCATGAATATGTTTAGAAAACTGAACAATAACACTGAATATGTTTAGGAAACTAACCAATAATACCATGAATGTGTTTAGAAAACTGAACAATAACACTGAATATGTTTAGGAAACTGAACATTTACTGCTCTGTTATAAGGAGTATATTCCCTGTCCTAACACTCAATATGGTTGCTCAGCATCTTTACAACGTCAGAATGTAAGGTTTGAAACTTAGAATGTATATTTAATTTGAATTCACTATTTAATTTTGATTTTTCTTTAATAAATCAAAACCATTTAAACTTTTAACATATCAAAGAAAAAGTCTTAATAAAATGATGATTGTTGTTTTTGTTATTTTTATTTTCTTTAGTTTTGTTATTCTTATTGTTATTGTTATCATGATTAAATTATCATAATTATCTTATCGTTAGAAGTACATACATTTTTAAAAGTTT